TTGAGCATCTGTGTAAAGATGTAGATTTTTATTGTTTAGGGTGGGGGTAGGGGTGTAAAGGTTTGTTTGTTCCAAGTATCGAACCCAGGACTGCTCATCGAAAACCCGACGAACTAACCGCCATACTATAGAGACTTGATAATAATAACTTTTTTAAAAAAATAATTTATGTTTTATATTTTTCTTTTTAACATTATAATGCTTTACTTATGAAAATGATATATTCAATGCTTTTTTTTTAAGGTTAGTATTTTATTATTTAAAACGTCTTAGATCTTAACGATTATATAACGCTAATAAAAGGTTATTTAATTAGATATCGATATGATTATTTCTGTTTAACGAATTTGACGGAACAATAAGAATCTATGTAGAATTTGTTAGTTGTGTCCTCTTAATTTTCTACGAAAAAAAAATTTTCAATTTTCGTCACTCTGTCGAGTTAGCTTTTGTAAAATTTTCTATAAATTATGATATCCGGATTAAATTTTAACGATAATAAATATTGTTATCAGTTATAAAAATATTTTAATAGTTTTGAAGTTTTTCGCTTGAGAATTTATTTAAACGCCTCTCGAACTTATGAAAAAAATTTTTACTTAAATTTTTTCATTAATAAAATTCTGAATTCGAATTTGATCGTTAAAAGTTTAATTGTAACAAAGTTGACTACGCTCTGTAAATTACCCGGCACGGAATTATTTTAACGCATACATAGCTACTACACCTTTGATTTCTTGTCTCCATTTACAGTTTTCACTTTCTTTTTGATCTAGTGACTAGGTGACTAGTTCAGTTTGTAAAATGTAATTCTCCGTTACGAATGATTCTATCACAGCTGAGTTTCGTGAATTCTTCACATTTAGAGGATCAGAATCCCTAGAAAAGTAGAATCCCTAGAAAAGTAGAAAGTTGAAACAAGGTTCGTTACAATAGGATTTGAATCTTTCAGAATGAGGAAGCAAGAGTCTGTAACCGAAAATTCGAAACTAGACTTGTTATCCATGCTATAGATGCTATAGATGTTATAGATGCTATAGATACTATAGATGCTATAGATGCTATAGATACTATAGGGATATGTGACACGAATTCTAACTCTAAACTCTGGAGCATGGGAATTTAATTATCGTTATTGCGATAGGATGAAACATGAGGTTTTATGGGAATGAATGATGGACAAATGTATATTTCGATCGATGATTCTTTCTTTTTGAAACCAGATCACGAGTCGACTTGCCGGCTTAGCTGACTTAGCCAACTAAGACGGCTTATAGTTATCGGAATGTTGAATCACTTTTTTATATAAATAATGATAAAAAAAAGATATAGGGAAACAAATGGTAGATTAAAACATCCTTATCAACTTATGGAAAAAAGTAAATCAGATCTTTTAAAAGAAACAAATAGATACAAATCTTTCGATGATTCAACTCTTAGAGATGTAGAAGCTAAAACAAAAGTCACTCCTTTTTTGTACCGTGCCGTTTTAACCGCAGCTTTGAGTGGATTTGCAGTTGGGTATATATTTTAAGCTATTTTTTTATTATGTCATTTAATTACTAGCGTGATATATTTTTTTTCTATAATTTTTGATAGATATGATACAGGTGTTATTAGCGCCCTGATGATAATATTAGAAAAAACCCATAATTTAACTAAAACTGAACAAACTTCGTTTATTGGAGGTATAAATTCAATATATTCTTGGATATATGAATTTTTTTCTATATATTAAATTTATTTATTTCGCCTTTATTTTCAGCAACTACATTAGGTGGCGCAATCGGCGCTCTGGTTGCAGGTAAATGGATTAACAAGCAGCGAGGATCTCTCACAAATATATTATTAAATATATTATTAAATATATTATTAGGTTATGTCTACTTAATTAATTAATTATTTATTTATTTATATAATTAAAATAATTAGGTTGGGTTGCTGACTTTTTCGGAAGAAAAAGTGCTATTTATCTAGCCGCAATTTTGTTCATTGTAGGCTCATTGACTATGTCCCTATCATCAACAATTACTATTATGTTGATTAGTAGATTAATATCAGGAATTGCTAGCGGCATTGCATCTATGACCGCTCCAGTATATATTGGTGAAATTTCTCCGAAATATCATCGTGGTCAACTAGTTACCTTTAATGTTTTACTAAGTAATGGTGCAACGTTATTTGCCGTATTATCAGGAATGGCATTTGTATCAGATGGTGGATGGAGATGGATAAATGCTATTGCTTCTGTTCCTTCATTATTACAACTTTTTGGTATGCTGAATTTAGTACAAAAATTTTTCATTGATTATATATTTACTAATTCAATTATATAAAAAATATTCTTTATTATAGGTTTATTATATGTTCCAGAAACTCCAAGATTTCTTGTAAAGAAAGGTGACTTTGAAAATGCTAGAAATGTTTTGAATATAATTTATCCTGATTCATCTCAAGAATTCTTGGATAAAGGTAAATCTTTTATCTAATTACCATATAAATTATCATATAAATTATCACATAAATTATCATATAAATTATCATATAAATTATCATATAAATTATCATATAAATTATCATATAAGTTAACATGTAAATTAATATATAAATTATTCATGCATTTGTAGAAATTGAAGATATTCACTCAGTTGTTTCTGAAGATGCCAAGGGTTCTTATGCAAAGCTAATACAGCCTCCTTATTTAAAGCCATTCTTAATTGTATGTGGAATTGTGTGTTCACAAGAACTTTGTGGATTTGATACCTTTTTATATTTTAGTGTAAGTATAAAATAAAATGATAATTGAGAGAATGGTGTGTATTATACATGTATATCTTTTATTAAGATTAATTTTTAGGGTATTATCTTAAATATGGCTGGTTTCACTGATACGGGTGACACTTTAAAATTTTCCCTTATCGTGTTTGGAGGAAATTTCCTTGTTACAGGTAAGGTGCAATTATATTGTTGGTTAAATACTTTAATTTCTAATAACTTATTTAAATATACCTTTCTTTTAAGTGGTAACAATATATGTAGTTGACCCAGTTGGTCGTCGTAAATTGCTTTTATATACTCTACTTGCAACGATAATTGGTTTAGTCTGTCTTGGAATTTCATTTATTTTTGTTACAGGAATTTTTATCAAACAAAATACATGTTCAGATTATGTAAATAATTGTGCTGCATGTTTATTTGATAAACGATGCATATTTAACAAACAAAATAGAATTTGTGTTGTTTTAAATAATAATTCTACTCGATCTAATATTTCTTGTGATAGTTATAATAATCGCTTTTTTGTACTTGGTTCTTTGACATTTTCCGTTATGGGTATGTTTTATTATACTAATATTTTATATTTTATATTTTATATTATTGCTATTTAACTTTGTAACTTTTATAGCTTATGCATTGGGTCTTGGAAATGTTTCATGGTTGTTACAAAGTGAATTACTTCCATTAAATATACGTGGTCGAGGTGTAGGAGTTGCAACTGGTAAACATTTTAGAGTATACAAATTATACGAATCAACCATTTTATGGATTCCTAACTTATTTATAATTTAATAGCTGCGAATTGGATGGTTACCTTTTTAGTTGGGATAACTTTTCTGCCTTTAATAGATATTATAACAATTCCTGGTATTGTCTTTATTTTCTTGAAAAATATTGTTACAATGATATAATTTCACTTAACAATAATATAATTAATGAATTTTGTTTAATTTCAAAGGTACGTTTTGGATGTTTGCACTATTAACGGTATTGACATGGTGGTTTGTGTTTCTTTTCGTACCAGAAACATCTGGTAGATCACTTGAGGAAATTCAAAGATTTTTTAATCCACGATAATTAAGTATTAGGTGATAGAAATCATTTTGCATTGAATCATCTTTAGTTGGATATTGTTAATTTTATATGCATTGTTTTTTCTGTTATATAAGATAGTTTTGGTTTATATATTTATTAATCACAAGATCGGATAGTAAATACCCGATCACACAAAAGTACCGATTCTTGTGTGTACATGCGTAAACGAAATTTTCACTAATGCCCAATGGTTTAGAATAAGCTAAATACACATAAAATAAATTTTAAACTCAAGCAAGGGTTAAAATTGTTATTTTAATTCAAAGATTATGCAAAATTAAAATAGAAAAAAAACAAATTTATTAGATCGTTTATTAAAAATTTTTATTTGTCGAGATACCTTTATCTAAATTTTTTAGAAAAAATTCAACCGTTTATCAAAATACTAAAGTTGCGGCAGTCGTCCAAACTTAAGCAAAGATATTCACATAACTAAATTAAATAAAAAATTTTTATTCTGATTTTATGAATTAAAATAATTAAGATATCTTCGCTCAAAGTTCTTATCGGGATCGTCAAAATCATTGCTGCATTGACGGGGATGGCTAAAGCCATGTACCCACGTGATTTTAACGTTTTAATCGTTTAAATTAAAATTAAGGTTAGGATTAGGG